CCGCCACTTTCTCGCAGAAAAGCAACGTGTATTTCAGTTTCGGCTATTTCAGTCATCTTTTTCGGGTCTTCTTGAAAATCACCTGCGTTTCGCCGACTCTAAGAAAAGGTAGCGAGTCCCGAAATACGAATAGGAAAGTAAAACGAGAGACGAACGGAAGAGAGACTTTTGTAAGCGACTGGTTAAATCGGAGACGAGGAGAATAAAGGAAGAAAAATAGAGAGACGAGGACGAACAAAAATAAGCTGTATGGCGCCTATGAAATGAATATCACGCGTCCAGGTAACGACAAGGTATCCTGGAAGCGATCCTTGAATGAACTATGGTATTTCCTAGGGACGACACTAGCAGCGATCTGGGTCAAAGAAGGGTCGTGAATGGCGTCGCTTGCCTCGAGTGACGTCACGGGGGTGCAAACCCCTGCAAGTGGGTCACTCGTTGATTCTGTCATGGCCGTAGCTATAAACGGACCAGGGACGTCCTTCCATGTTTCCACGTCTTTCCGCGAATCGTGTTCCGGTACGGGCACGTTGCGTACAGATCGGCCGGAACGACGTTGTTTCTCCGACGACATGCTCCGGACACGGGAACAGAAACCTTCCGTCCTGTCGATTATTTCAGAGCGAACGCAATCGCGGCGTCGTTAACTGACCGACTGTTGCTCGATTTAACTTCGCGTGTTTCGTAAAAGTCTGCCTTTCGGATAATTCGAGTAAAGAGCGTAATTCGTAAGAGGATAAAATAGTGGGAGGATGTTAATGGTACAGAAAGGCTATAAATGTGAACGCCGGTTTGAATGAAAAACGTTTATTTGAAACGTAAACTACGTGTAGTATCGACATAGGTAATACTTAATATAAAATATTCAGTCCTGAGAATCTGCATTTCTCGCATATTCTATCGTTCTCGCTTTTTCTCTGTTCCTGTATTTTCACGCGAGAATCATCGACATTTATTAGGCGTGTGTTAGCGTTCTATTATTTCTCCTCGCAAGATATCGTACATCTGTGTGCCAATTTTTTCGCGACATACCATGTAACTCACGCGGTAGATATTTACAAGGCACTGAAAGATCGCGTATACGTTCCGCGATTACGTTCGCCTTCACGTAAATGAGAACTTTCGACGATAGTTTAAGAAAAAGATTTCCCTTCGCCGTTGGTTTCGTTCGGATTCGTTTCGCCGCAACCGTTCGACTCACCGGCGTCCGTCTTTCGAGTATCGTTATTGTCCGTGTTATTCTCGTCTCGCGTGAGAATGAAACTGGAACGAAAACGAGGTCGAAAACAGAACGATCCGCTCCTTTTTCATCGCGACACTCGCCAAGCATCTGTTAGCACAGCAGGCCTTGCGAAAGAAGGAACAGAAACTTCGCAAACTCGTTTAACGTCTCGCCGTAGCACGCACATACTCGAATTTGCTAGTCTCGAGCGAACGATTGCGCTGAACGAAGCTCACGATACCATTTGCGAATCGTGATATGTTTTAAAAGTATCCTTAACGAACAAGTAATTCTAATCTATCTGAAATATTCACGACCGAACGTTACGTCGGACGGTTAGCGATAAAGATCGCGCGAGATCGCCAACGTTTCATTTCGATTCTTTCGACGATCGTCTCCATCCGTTCGTTCCTTATAAAAAAAGCACCAGAGTTGCGCGATCTCGACGCGTTCACGGGTAATTGACTCGTATATCGCGATAACCGACCTCGGTTTCGCGACGATATAATACCTTTTCGCGAAACGACGTTTCGATAGAAGCGCATCGAGAATCTGCTTCGTTGCGAATTCGACAAAGAAGGTGCATGCGTAAGACGGATCGTCGACCGATCGCATCGCTATGTGACGTTCGAACGTTCGATCCGACTTGTTTTATTCCTCTTTGCGCTTGCGATCGAAACGGATCGCCAATTAATCGTCAACTATGAAATTCGTTGGCGTGTAACGTAATTGGTATCGCTATTGTACATGTTTTTATCGAGTGTACTAATCGTTTGCTACAAAAGGTAGGTACATACATGCTTATACGGCTACGTTCTGTCTACATGATCTATCTCGTTTACGAATAAGAGACCAACAACTTAAAACACAATGTACTTGTACGTCGACGCACCTCTACCTACGACGAACGCGACTTTCCCGTACTTTTCGCCTTCTTCTCTCCCAAGCGACCGACGACCGATCGAATATGATCGGCCTGGAACGAAAGAAAATCTCGACGGAGGAAGAAGCGCGCCGGATACGCTTTTCCGCGAAGTTTCCGGCAGAGCGAGAAGACGCGAAACGCTACGTTCGCCGAATCTTCGACGTCCGTTACAATTATTTCGCTCGTATCGCTCTAAGTTCGTATACATTTTGATCCACTCGTTTGGTCGAGGTTTGAAAAAACAGCGGCGAGGAAAGGGCCGCGATTGACAAAAGTAGAAAGTACGGAAACGGAAGCGTGGGCTGCGAATTCCTGTAGATCGTGCGAGCAAACATCTCGTACGCAAAGAATGGTCCAAGAGCGGAGGCTCCGTTCGGCTATTTGCGCTATTTAATATCGAGACGATCGCGCAACGAAACTCGAAGTTTGTAATGAGATAGATAGATAGAGAGATAGATAGATAGATAGATAGATAGAGAGATAGATAGATAGATAGATAGATAGATAGATAGAGAGAGAGAGAGCGGAATTGAGCGAGTGTATCGTTTAAAACGGATGAAACTTGGATGAACCGAGTGAACCGGCTTCGACTCGAATCGCCATCGATCCTGATTGCTTCTTATCGGTAGAGACCGACGGTATCTTGACAGGAACAGGGCATCGTCAATTGCTGTGCCATGTTCCTTGGAACCCTCTGCGTTGGTAGGCCCGAAAGACCTCTGACGTACGTGTAGGACACCGGACTGCGTAGGATTCTTTTGGGGCTCTTCTTCGCGTGCTTGTTCTCCTTCCCTTCCCACTTGGAGGATATCTTGAGAGTTTGAAGCGCTCTTCGAAGAGTATCTGCCGTGCTGGATCTTTTCAACGAGTCGCTGTCGGTGCTGCTGTGGGCGTCCGATGGACTCGAAGAGTACGAAAGCGACTCCGAAGTTCTTCCAACGCCTCTAACGTCTCCAGGGCTCCAAGAACGCGAGGACTTGGCTCGAACTCGCTCCGAACTTCTCTGAATGCTGGAAAGTCTCTCCTGAGAACGAGTCGGTCGGCCGCGAAGTCGGTCCAAGTAGCAGTGGGTTCTCGGCGACCTGGTGGCGCGGCATAGTCGCTCGCTGCTTCCGCGACGCGACAGCCTCTCCGCGCTTCCGGTACTTCCACCGCTGCTGCAACCACTGTCCGTGCTGCATTCGTCGTCTCCGAATTCTTGTTTCGAAGAACCAGGGCCCACGGTCGGGCTGACTCTTCGTTTACCGTCGCCCTTTTGGTTCTCTCGGCGACGATCGTCTTCCGGATCGGTCAATCTAGTCGTGTCCTCCATTCTCAGTGAAGTACGAAAGCCACCGATCCGATCGAGATCGCGGACGAAAATCTGTACCGTTCGGTTAGCCAGCTCGCAAATTTCGTTTCGTTCGATTAGAACTCGTTCGTTCGAAATTAACTCGAGTTTCGTTCGACCGCGCTCAGTCGTTGACTCGCTGCCTTTCGTGTGAACGATGGCAAATGCGCGCCCTTTCTGTCACGGTTGATCAATTTCCGTGCGTCTAATCAATTCCACACTCGTTTCACTGTGCTTATACTTGCGTAAAACGATGCTTTCGAGGAGAAATTAGCGTGCTTCGTTGTCGATCGGTCGTTGATCTTTTATTTTCATCCGTTTCCCACTGTTCTGTGTTCTTATTAGTTACTGGATGCCTTTTCCGTCTTTCTCCAAGTCGTTCATCCTTATGTGCCGAAAGAATAGTTTTATTCGGCGGTTAATCGCAAACACGCGTTTTATCAATTTGTCGTTGATTGCCGGGTTTGCCGTGTGTATTTCGCACGCTTTCGTGAGCGAACTGAGACTCGGAGACTCGCGTTCTTCTCTTATATAGCGTCGCGGCTTTGCCGAGGGTGCGCGCATGTCCTCTCCACCACGTGAGGGTTCGAGTCGTATCTGCGAGGACGCGATATCGGGATGAATGCGACCGACGCGGTTTTCGAACGCTGCTCGTCCGAAACGCGATTCACCAATCGGCGCCATTTTTCTTTATTTTCGGAACATTCACTTCGATTTCTCTCGCGCGAATCGCACACGTATTTTCAATCGACTCGCGTCGATCGTACTTCGATCAAAACGCATTTTCGCAAACAGCGAATCCACGAATCACGAACAGGGAAGAAGCGCTTAAGCGCGTAGAAGTGCTTCTTTTTTTAGGCTGGACCGTATATTCCTAATGACGTAACGAGCGGAGAACGTCGAACCTTCTTTGTAGTAGACGATCGATACGTCGAATGCTCTTGGTGAAACGAATTCGTTAAAATTAGCAATGCCGCGATTTAATGGACGCTGGTTAAGAGAGTGGGACGAGCAATCGAGATAGTAGATAAGGGCAAAAGAGGGCAATAATGGGGACAGTACAAGTATTGTATCGCGTCTCGAAGCAGAGAGGTCGGTGAACTGCAGCGTGCGATCGATGCAAAGGGGTGGATGTACCATGCAGGCTGATCGCATTGCCGCCAGCGCTGGATGCACCCGGATGATCAATAATTTTGTAAATACGAACCAGGTATGACACGAACCAGGAATACAAGATAATACGTAGGAAATATTAATATATCGAAATACGGAAACAAACATATCGAATATAGAAATTAATATATAAGCGAAAACGTATCGCACCCCGACCGTTAGCTCCTAATGCAGCGTAACGAGGGACGTAACGAGGTTCGTCGTAACAGAATAGAACGATTCGGTTATATGTAGATTTCCCCTTCCTTTTCCTCGCAGACGCTTTCGTACGATGGTACACGGTGACGCGAAGAAAAATTTCATTCTCGATGTTATTACGGTAACACGTGTTGCGGTGCCAAGAATATTGCGAAGCGGAACACGTTGCTGTCTCGAAACGCAACGTGACGTAGTGTATATTCACCGAAGACAATTTGCTCGATTTCATCGGAAAATTCGTGTATGTTAAACCTTTAGCGGATTAACAGCATATTGGACGAAGCAGCAGCGAACCACGAACGGCACATCCAGTACACGACGTACGCGAGGACATTGCATTTACCTTTTACGTAACGATTCTGGTATTGTTGTTGCCGCATAATTGATTCGTCGTTTGTAGAAACAAAAGGCCGCCATGGCCTTGCTCGATTTCAACGAAACGCAACGATTCCTCCCTTGTCGTCGATGGCGAATTTCTGGCTCGAATTCTTCTTCTGGGTATAATAGCGAGACCAGTCGCAGACTCGTTTGACATTTTCAAACGACCGTCTGTACCGTGAACCCTTGTATTTTCATCCACTCTTTTCTATAGCGCATTGTCTATTCCCTTCGTATACCATCTCCGTTCTTACCATCTTTCGTCGCACGTTCCACCGCTTCTATTATAAATCGAAATCGCTGTGCTTTCGATGCAAGCGACGGTTCGCTCGGCTCTCGTGGATACGCTCGACGAACCGCGCGAGATACGACGTATTACGTTCGCTTCGAGGGAGCGGAGAACGCGATAGTTTATCCAAGGAAGCGACAGTGCAACGCTTGTCTCGTGAAATCGTCCAAACTCGGACAGCAGTTCGAACATCAGCTCGAATAAGCATCCGACGAAGAGAGCGCGCGCCAGGCTTTTCACCCGGTTGATTCGTCCGATCTTACTCCAAACGAATATTTCTTATTCGTTCGATCGCGCCTAAGATTGCATACACGCGCCACTCCGTATTTCGATGCACGAACACACATTTTTATATGACATAAGTGGGTGGAGAACGATTATTCAGAGTGTGGTCACGCCTACGTTCATTCTTATATAATTGAATTTACAGAGTAACGAGGAATCACGTAACGAGCTGTGCGCGATAGATTCATTAACGAAGAAACAAGTAATCGTCGAAATGTAAACTACGGGACGTCAAGAAACATGTACGCGTATCGAGGAAATAAGAAAGCCGTTTGCGTTTGAACAGTTTTATTGATACCGAATCTAAAAGTATAAGAACATTGTCGGAGAATCGAAGCACGAACGATACTTCATAGAAAGTACAGAGATGCGATTATTGATCTTTTCAGGATGAGAAAGAGATGAGTCGATTGGTCGATTACTCGATGGTTCGGTTCAGTCGCTCGATCGCTCGATCGATCCATGTCGTCTCGTCGATCGTGTTAGACGACGTAGCCTTTGTAGATGTAAGAGGAAGCAGGCGCGTAACTAGCAACCGGAATAGGCGGATAGTTGGAGTAGAGAAGGGGTGTTCCAATGTTCGAGAGAAGAGCTGGTGCAGCCAATGGAGCGGCGGCCAGGGGAGCGGCGACCAGAGATGGCGAGGGTGCCGGACCTGGTGCTGGAGCCGGGGCTGGTGCAGGAGCCGGCGACGGTGCAGCCAACGCGACCGCCAATAATCCAGCGAACAACAGCTACGCTCACAAGAATTCGATCAAGAGGAGATTCTTCCTTTGCTTACCCTGTTTCCGTCTGCACCATCTAGCACTCGATCTCCAGCACTCACCGTTTTGAACATGTTTGTGGTTGAAGCGTGTGGATACACTACGTAAAAGCTGAGACGATTATACCTCAATTCCCGAGGAAACGCTGCTTATATAGGGGAAACCGCGACAAAGATTCTCATCTCTCTACATCCCCCTTCCTTTTAACCATCTCTCTGCATCTCGTTCCTTTTACCCGTCTCTGGTATTCCACGAAGGGCAACAGCCGGTCTTCCAAGCAGACCATGAACGGGACACTCGCTTCCTTCTTGTTGGTACGCGCAATTTTTTCCACCGACCGGCCAATCGACTTCTCCCTTTGTGCCTCTCCGCAAACGTTTTCCCGTGTATCGACCAACTACCGGCGAATCGCGGATTTCTTCAAGGTTGCACGGGATCAGGCGTGTCCCAACAATACGCGCCATTTCCTTCTTTTTCGAGTCTACGTTCGAGCAACTTTTTTCCATCGAGCACAAACAGGTTTTCCCCTTTTCTCCGGCATCGCGTTGTCCTTGCGACTTCGAAAAACGATTGACGATCCGAGGATAGCTTAATGGCTCGTTGGCTGCGAGGTACGAACAACGACCAGCGTCTTTCAACCTGCTCGAAATAATTATCAACATCCGCGGGATGATCGTTTGTCCTTCCCACGCTCCTACAGCGCTTTATCGTGCGAAAGAAAGAATGGCAAAGTAGAGGTAAGAAAGACGACGCATGGGACAGATTCGAAATTATGCGAATTCTAATACAGCTTTCCTCTGCTTGTCGATTCCAAATTGGAAGAGATATTAACGACGAAATTAACGAACGTAATGGCAGCCTGTCGTACCTTCCGTGTCGTGATACGAGGTGTATCTCGACCGAAGGGGAAACAGCGTTTGCTGGTCTCACCCGGACTCGACGAACTTGAACTTGGGAAAAAAGCGTTTGCTTTACCTTGGAGGTGTTCAGCCTTGTGGTAACCGAGAGAAAGATAGAGCGAGCGAAACACGGAGACAAAGGAGGGATGCGAGTGACCAGATCGAGCGAGTGAGAGGCGTAGGAAAAGGATCGATCAAAACGAAATGTAACGATCGGAGAAAAAACAGAAACGCGACTAATCGAACAATTTTTTTATCCAGACCAAATAGGATGTGCGGATTAGATCTATGATGAAGTCGGATATAAAAGTAGACTATTTAAATGAGGCTGAGAGACAGAGAGCGAGACAAACAGAGAGGCAAACAGAGACTAGGTAAAAAATGATGAAAAACTAGATGAAAGTAGTTGCAGATAGATCGTGTGGGAAGCAGAACGACCCGCGTAATCAGTGAGCCGACTTTGTAACCTTGTTGTGCGTTCCAACCGGACAAGCACGTAGTCGAGAGGGTTATACAATTGCTCGGTCTGGTTGCTTACGTAATTTCGTGATACTCGTAGAAGTGTCCGCCCTGTGCTTCTCTTTCGATCAAGGTCATCGAAATCGATCGATCCATTTGTTGCGAGTGATAGCTACCAAACGCGAGCAGTTTGAAAATAAGATACAGGATGAGGAACGCGTCGCGTCGCGTCGCGTCGCGCCGCCCGCGCCCGCGCCCGTGCCGTAACGAGCGAGGGAGCGCGTGAAAACGGCCGATGTTTCACGCCCGGCATTCCAATGCGACCGCGACCAACAAAATTGATACGAAGGTGACTACACCAAGGAGGTCGGAACTTTCGCAAGCCCCGCATCCACTGTCCTTTTCGTAAGTCCACCACCCCATCAGCGCCGGACATTGGTATAAAACGAGGACGCTTCGACGATTCTGCACTCATCGCTCAACAGCCGAAACAAACACACAAGCTCAACAATGATCAAGACAGCGGTAAGTGATTTAATCGCGATCGAGATGATGTAGACTTTGTTTAAATCCTAATATATATATATATGGAAAGAAAATCAAAAATTTTATTTTCAAATCTATCGCTTTCCGCAGTGCATCGTTCTCTTCGTAGCAGCCGTGGCGTCTGCTGGAATTCTCCACGCCCCTTTGGTCGCTTCTCCAGCGGCGATTGCTGCTGTTCCAGCACCGATCGTAACTGCTAGGAGCAGTCAAGTCGTAGCCAGGAACTACAATACATTCGCTGCCGCACCACTGGCATACACCGCCGCCGTACCTGCAGCCGTGCACGCGGCCATACCAGCAGCACCCGCACCGATTACCCTCGCTGCCGCCGCACCTGCTGCACCATTGCCATACGCTGCACTCGCCTACACCGCCCATCTATGATTTCACCCCTGATACTCCGATCGCCTGTCCAAATCTCTATTTTTAAGTTTTTCTTTTTCATGGAATAAATTGCAACTTAAAACGAAAACAAACGATCGTTCTTTCGTACTTGCATCTATCTCGAATATTCAACCTCTGCCGTAACATTTCCATCGTATGCTGTAACGCAATCCTTTCGCACACCGTTCGACAAAGCAATTGATCACGGTTTTCCTCCGACACCCTACGCTTTGTTACCGTATCTTTTTATAGCAGTATCTACTAGAAAGAAATCGAATCTAATTAAAACTGTGACGCGTCAATGAACGACGAAACGATTCTTTCTTATGGATCATTACAGTAGCAATTGATAGGTAGGAATTAATGAACGAATCGATTGAGAGATGAATGGTAATAGAAATTATATAGGAAAATACAAGTTTGCTTGTTTACGATCTATTCGTAATCCCTACGGTCCGTGCAACTGCTGTCGAAACAATTGCATACGTCGTGCCATTGTTCCAAGTAGCCAGAGATGGTACAAAGGATGCTGCGTTGCATGAGTCGGATCATTATCGCTGTAATTACTGACCCTCTGTAAATTGCATTACGGTGTTATCAAAATAAATTCATTATACGGATGTAACCTAAAGAAAGACGCGTTTCTTTCATCTTTCCACCGTATGAGAAGTTTTTAAAAATATACAAACTTTGCTGCATCGAACGATCGATCATCGGCCCATTATCGAACATCTTTGAGAGAAAGGTTCACGCGTTATTTTCCCAAATATTTTTCTTACGATTGTTTCCTAAAGCGAAAACGTATCGATGAAAAGTAGGACATCCGTGCAGGGTCAAGAGTGAAGTTCGATACGGTATTCCGTATCGATAAATCAAGGGAAAGTTACGAGGAGCAAGTTGATGAACAAATCCACGTTTCCAGTCGGAAATTCGAGTCACGTTCGACGAACGATCTTCGAAACTTGCGATGTCCCAATCGTCGTAGACGCAGTACGTACGGCCGCGTTTCGTATTTGGAACGAGCATGAGCCGCACCCAATGTATATCACTGGCTGAAACTGAACTGCAAACGACATCGATGTCTTCGTTATTGTTGCGTCAATTTTAACTTTGCGAATATCCCGAATAAGCGGCATTTAAAGGGCGGTTCTATTCTAGTCTCGCTTCGTGTTGCTACGACGTAAACCAGAATGAACAAAGAATACGATGGAAATTTAAGAAACGACGGTACTTTCAAACTTGAGTATCAAGTTGTCGATTCTTTTCCTTCTTAAGATTCGTTTCGTAGAGTAAGTGATAAACAAAGAAGAAAATAACTTTTTAATAATTCTGATTCACGCGACAGCAACGCGTTCGTCAAAGGTATATCTAAGAATTATTGGCCAACTGGAACTTGCGATATCTTGTCGATCATTTTAGGAAATAGAATTTCCAGAAAAACGTGTTTAAAAGTTACACGTCGCATCGTACAAGCTATGCACTCTCACCATTGAATTTTACAAATTCGAGAACATAGTTTCAGTAGACGAATCTCTACTCTCGGAAAATGCAAGATAATTCTTTTTCTTTTCACTTCTGAACCTAGATACCTCGTTAAGGAAAATAAAGGATTTCGTTAGCTTGCAAAATCTGTCTATGAGAGCTGAATAGCAAACGCGCATCTTGCAACGAAGCAACTCATCCTACAATGGTCGTTGTCGTTGGCAAGCGAAAATTTCCAACGTTTTTCATCGTTTCACCCTAACGTTCATTCCCTTCGACGATTTACGATCCGCGACTGTGTTCGTGTACCGTACCGTCCATCGTCGTATGGTATACGACTGTGGCAAAGGAAAAATGTTACGGACAAAGGGCGTTCGAAGGCAACGTATATCCGCGGTGAACGACACCGAGCAGCCGCGTGGAGCAGCGCGATCAGGAACCACGAGGATAATGCTGAAAAAAGTTAGAGTAAAAAAAAGAAGGCTAGATTCGGCCATAGAGACGGTTACTGTATAACAGCAGGCGTGGCCTAAAACGAGCAAAGTTAATCCGATATGCAGAAGCGTGTTCCTGTCGTATGGTACCGCGAACCGGTGTTGCGAACATGTTCGTAGTGGGAGTATATTACCGGACGAAACAGAGTATAAAAGAGCTCTAGCTAATCCATATGACAGTACAGTTGTCTGTTGTTATCCACTCGATACACTTTCGAGACCTCAACAAGTAAAAATGTTCGCCATGAAATTCTTGGTAAGTTGATCGAGAAGCAAGTTGTGATCGCTTCTTGCGGACGAGTCCAATCGAGAGAATAAATCGGGGAACGAGCAAGTTTTGATAATAGATGTTCCCTGTTCCACGCTTCTTCTCGGTAGTTTGGATTCTCCTCCAGTTCTTTTGTAGTTTTCGTACGAATAAGAATCGTAATAATCGATTTGTTTACTCTTTTCGTAGAATAGCGTCTTGCGTTTATTATTACAAACGAATTGGTTATATTCTTTTCAAGTCAAAAAGGCGTGCTTTCTTCGCCAAAGAGCACGGGTATGGCTCGATTAATTACGAGATTAAAGATAAGACAAGATTTCTACTTTTAAAAGTAGAAATACGCGTGACGATAGATTCAAATTCTCGACATGTTTGCGCCTTTGATATCATGCTCAACCGTGGCTCGATCCATCGATCATCGAGTTTCGTAATTGATATATTTGTATAAAGAAAGATAAGCGATAAAAAGGTTCTACCGCGATAAGCGAGCTCGAGAGGAAAGTTCAAACGATAGACCGAAACTAATCTGTTAATTTTTGTCAAAGGTTCTGTTCGCCGGTTTGGTCGCTGCCTGTTCGGCCGGTTTGTTGCCAGCGGCGGTACCAGCAGCAGTGCCAGCAGCGATCGCGGCACCGGTTCCAGCAGCTTTGACGGTCGGAACCTACGCGACCAGCTACAACGCGCACGCGATTAATCACGCGGTTGCTGCACCGTACATCGCCAGCCCTGTGATCGCCCACGCCGCCGCTGCTCCGCTCGCGTATTCCAGCTTCCCTGCCGCGACCCTCATCGCCGGCAGACGCTGAAAATCGTACCGAAACCGCGTCACCGTTCGAGGACAGTGCAGCCAGAGAGAGACATCCGGTTACGTTCCAACGCAATGGCCATACCAACCATGAAACAACTGATTAACCTTCGATACTACCATCCCCACTACAGCAACAGGATCTGGACCTCGGTGAATGTCATTGATCTGCAATTACAAATGGATGCCGACGACGTTTCAGGATGTTTCCGTTTTCGGTTTTCACTCCTCTCCTTCTTTTATTACTCCCGATCGACAGACCTTTCGCTCGCTTTTTCATTTTGCAAAAAAAAACAATAAAAAGATTTTTCTCCCTTTGAAAACTTCGTCTTTGCCTGTTTTATCCCAGCACCACATATATATGTTTCTTCCTTTCTGTATTATTTCTTTCGTATTTCTGTATTTTGGGCTCTTGCAGAGAAAGAGGGTATCGAGAAGGCAGAGGGAGAGAGATAGATGGAATACGAAGTTGACGAAACAAACGATAAACGATAGACGACGAAAAATCCAAGGCAACCGCGAAACAAACGACAACTCGTTGATTACTCTCGCCGACTTTCGTTTTTTCGTGTTCCTACGTATCTCCGTGACGAACTCGTGGCTTCGCAGCGATTTCTCAATAATTTTGTAAAATATAGAACTTATAAAAGGGTAGAGATAAGAGAAAAGCGGATAGAAACGATCGGTGGCGAACGAAGATTGGGTACGAAGATCGTAGAGGAAGAAGAATAGAGAAATGCGTGAAATCGCTCATCTCCAAGCTGGCCAATGCGGCAATCAGATAGGGGCTAAGGTATTTATCACGAATTTAATTCGTCAAAGATCGAACGCTGAAAACTGCGTGTACACGATATTATCGAGAAATGCGAAAAGGTTCGAATTTTTCAATTTTTTATCGTTTTTCGTGAATTTTTATTACGCGTATTCATATTGATCTTTGATGAAATCTATTTTATTTTTTATAGTTTTCGTCAGACACGTTAGTTTTAGATAACGTTTAATTATCATAACGTGTTTCAAATATCATTTCGAGCCGATACGATAAATCAAAGTGCTTCTTTATGGCTTTGACCAAGAATTGAACGAATCGAAATATTTTAAAATATCTTTTTATGGTCGTCATTCGCGACAGCCGAGTTTCTATATTCCCAAGCTCACCCGATACTTATGTTTTGATAGTTTTGGGAAGTGATCTCCGACGAGCATGGTATCGATCCAACGGGCACTTATCACGGTGATTCCGACCTCCAGCTAGAACGTATAAACGTTTATTACAACGAAGCGTCAGGTGGAAAGTATGTTCCTAGGGCGATCCTGGTCGATCTAGAGCCCGGTACCATGGACGCAGTGCGCTCTGGACCGTTCGGTCAGATATTTCGACCGGACAATTTTGTTTTTGGACAGAGCGGCGCCGGCAATAATTGGGCTAAAGGGCACTATACCGAAGGAGCAGAACTCGTCGATTCCGTTCTCGACGTTGTACGAAAAGAAGCTGAAAGCTGCGATTGTCTTCAAGGGTTTCAGTTAACGCATTCTCTTGGCGGTGGAACGGGCGCTGGAATGGGCACGTTGCTTATTTCGAAGATTCGCGAGGAATACCCGGACAGAATTATGATGACGTTTAGCGTGGTACCCTCTCCAAAGGTATTCTTTCTCCTTAATTGTTTCTGTTTGAAGCACGGTGGAATATTTAACACAATGATGAAAGTCGAGTGCGTAGGAAAATTTTATTCTCTAAAAAGTATTTTAATTATTATTTCGAGTATCTATAAAGCAAAGTAGCAGTACCTAAAGCTTCCTACGCGATTCAATATTTAATATTCGATATTTAATATTCGATATTTAATATTCGATATTTAATATTCGATATTTAATATTCCATCAAACGTTTCGTTTTATGAGGCTGTTTTTAGAACGGCGTGTATTACGACATTTGAGTTGGCTTGTAAACAAAAATGTTGCTTATTTACAAATGGGTTTTTTGAATTTTCAACTTTATGCAACTTTTTAAACGAAACACTTGACGATCTGTTGCAAAGAATCGGA